TATAGATCTGTTAACGTAGTGAACGGTCTAATTAATATTCATGAGTTATATTCATGAGTCTGCTCAAGTGTTCGCATTGTAACATTTGGATCGAGACTATTATCCCATATTTGGTTATCACGTGACCTCACGGGAAAAGTTTTTTTTTAAAATAAAGATTATTTAAAAACATGACAGATAATATAATCACAAATACTAAAATATCGTTGATAGCAATAGTTATTTTAATACTTTTTTCATCTGTACTTAATTATTGACCATAAAAAATTTTGATATCGATCGTCACAGAAAGCAAAATGGCGGTCAATCAAGATTCAATATACGACTAGCTACTGAAAACAATAAAATCTGCAAATCCTCATTGTATGTCAACCAAGTGAAAGTCGTTAGCCACGACTTACAAAATGATCGTCCAGACTTTGAGGGTTTGGCAGATCCGCTCGACTGATCCTCATCGGTCGACTGGCTGTCGTCACGCTTTCGCTTCTTGTCTGAGGTTGCGTATCGTAGCATTTTTTAGGATAATGAGGTACATCGATGATGCAAGGTATTTATGTACAGTTGTAAACACCTTTCACTCAAATTAACGTTCTCAGTAATTAATTCTCGATTAATTAGTGTCAACTCAGTTTATTGCCTAGTACAGTGACTATCATGTAGGTACGATGTATTTACAGCAATCAAAACAAACAAAGCTTGTCGGTGTAGATAATCTTCATTGTGGTACAACTGCAGACAGAAACGGCTCAGTCCTAACTGTTGATCATGTCTGGTCAAAATTTAAGAATGTCCGGACAATATTTTTTAAAATGTCCGGACAGAAAAATTTAAATGTCCGGTAAGCAATATTTTAAACCGGACATTTGAGATTCCCAATCGGACATGTCCGGCGCATATGACGGTTTCCGGACCCCTGGAGTATACTTAGCTTTAAGGGAGGACCTTTGGACGGGTAGATAGAGTTACACTTGGTCACCGACATTGAAGTGCATTGCACAAGCATTAATGTCACAGTGAGCCTTAGCCTTACACTTAGCAGGAACAAGTGTTGCTCATCTAAATTGATAGCATGCCAGAGCCTATCCCTTATCTTAGCCACATAGCCCAGCAATTTTTAGGATGGATTATCAACTAGCCACTGGTCTTTTACCAACTTCAAGGGTGTATGACCATAAACCAATTCAAATGGTGAAGTACCTAGAGATTCCTGTCAAGCATCCCCGGCAGCGCACAACCTAGCAGTAAAATCTAAATATTTTTTACATTTGTATACTTATCCTGCATTACTCCGTATTGCATCTACTGCTGTCTTTTGACAGAGAGACGAACTGTGTGAGATCCAGCTGCTGAAGAAAGTACCAGTACAGGAAGCTGCGTCTCTCACAGTCGGCATGAGACCCGGAAGTCATGACGTAACATCAAAACACATAACTGCTTAGTTGACGGACGTACTTTGTATCCCTTGTGGAAATTAAAGCTTATTGTTTCTATATTTTGCGTGTTTCTACATTCATCATATGCTGCTACATTGTTACCTGTTTATGGGCTGTTACCTTTTAGGTCATCCCATTCGTAATTTGTAACGTTTATCGCTCGTTTGTGGCTCTAGTTACAGTAATTTACGGGCGCAATGTTGTTCCTGCCATTTTGTTTCTTTCCCGCCATTTTGGCCATTCACCACGTGGCCACATAATCTTGTGTTCTGGGTTTTGAATTCCTTCTTTGGCTTGGGTAATACATTAAATTTATGTATTATGTTTATGTATTATGTTTATGCTTACAGTTTTGCCTTTTCGCTTCCTTTTAGCATAATTGTTTGATCTCATAAACTTCAATAAAATACAAAGTTTTTGAGTTACATTATGCTTCCCATACTTTATGTTTTGCTAAAATTCCAGATTTTCTGCCTCGCTGCACTTGTTGCCGCAGGAACAAATCTGGTCGGGGCCGCCCCTTCTGCCGTGATTGTACGACACCCTGTACTTTCACAATGCAGTGCCGATGTTGCAGTCCTTCGTCGCTGTGCTCCTTCAACTCGATATGAGTATCCAGGACACACCTCACTTAACGTGCTCGTCGACCCCCTGATATGGCTTACAACTGGGAGACTGAGGTCTTTCTACACCTCCCTTGCCGTCACCTTTATCGACAACAATGTCCCTTCTGGTGACGCCTGTAACGGGGCGGGTCTTCTGTCTCCTCAGCCATCTACGTTGACAGCAGCGGCGGCCTTGGCACTCCTGGCGTCTGAGTATCTCAGCCGAGCTTCCCAGCGCCTCCGGCGCTACCAACACTGCCAGCACTCCCGAGAAGCAGCACCACCGGCTCTCCCGGCGCCTCTGACGTGGCTTATGCCTCAAGCTCTCCAGCACTCCTGGCGCTCTCGGTGCCTGCGGTGCCTTGAGCTCTCCAGCGCCCAGATCAACAAGCTGAGTATCTCAACCGATCTTCTGCTTCGGCAAGGTGAAACCAAGTCTTTTAATTGTCGCTGCTCCTGTCGCTGCTCTCTCGTACGTCTTCGGGATCGTGACTATCATTCAGCTTCCTGGAAGGAAACTTTCAACCAATAGACATTTGGTCTGATTCAACTTGCCCACTGGCGACGTTCTCCTGACCCCGTTTAGAGTGCCATGCTTTCAGAGAGATGACCTGCGGGTTTCCATCGAAACAAAGCTTCTGGTGTACAGCGTCTGTATCAGAACTGGCAGATCTTCACTGTTCAGGCTCATCAAGCCTGTTTGACCCCTTCGTCATAGGCTACCGGGTACCCACTTCTCGGGATCATAGCTGACTGGTCTTGCATATCACGGTGTATTATATCGCTTTGCACTAGCCCCGCCATTCGACGACGACATCCACTGTCTTCTTCATCGACATCACCGACACCAACGCTCCTCTACCCTGCCTCAGCGCCAGCTTTACTCAAAGAGGCTCTACCTCGGCGCTCCCCGGGTTTTCCACGGCAAAACTCGGGTACACCACTTGTTTGTCTACCACACAGTAGTGATTGCACCTCATTTCTGGCTCCAATGCGGCTTCTGCCGAGGATGAGGAGGAGCGTTATTATGCCCAGTTAGGTCACTGAACGTTTTCTACGACGATCTAAAGCCTGCCGCAAGTCTAGGAAACACCTTTTTTCTGCCGGTCTGCCCTTCGTAGCAGTCGTTGGTCAGCCGGAATACTTTTCCCTGTGGCTACGGGCGGTCATCCTCCAAGCTTATAAAGCTGCCGGATTGGACCCTCCCCCAAGGCTATCAACCCACACGAATCAGGGCGATCGCATTTACCATGGCTCTTCACAGTATAACTGTTCCATCCAGTCGCACATGGAAGCCTGTTCTTGGCAATCGGACACCGCTTTTGCCAACCACTACCTTCGTGACGTAGCCTTAGAAGATGTCACCGGCGTTCACAGTTTTTGTCCCTGGTTGTAGGCCAACAGGTCACCTATCATCGACGCCACTGATTCTCTGATACGCCGAGCTGGGCCTGTCAACCTCTCTGGTGTTTATCACCCCTGACAAGACGGCTCTTTTGCATTCCGCATTCGCTCTTAGGTCAGTTTTAGTTTTTGGTTAACAGCCTCATTCTATTTCTGTCACCTATCATTTCCTGGCAGCCCTGGCATAGTGAAGTACTATAGTCACTACAGCGGCAGTGACCTTACGCAATGGGATAGCCTCCGGGAACCTCGTATTAATGCACATCACTGTTAACAAGTACTGACTGCCCTGAGTAGTCTGAGGTAACGGACATACTACATCAATATTGACCTTTGATAAAGCCTCGCCCACAATTGGCACTATTTTGAAGGGCCTGGGTGAATACAAGCCTTGTTTGGTTTTCCTGATACTTGACAAATTTGACAAACAATGTCACTGTCCATCCCTGCCCAGAAATAATCAGAACTGACCCAGTAATAGATTTAGTCCCACCAAGATGGCCAGCTAAAAAGCTCTCATGAGCCAAACTGAGAATACCATCCATAAATTCCCTTGGAAACACGACCTGCATGCTATTGCTATCTTTTAACTAAGACTGAGGATACTTTCTCATTAGAACACCTCAATGAAAATAAAATTCCCAAGAATTCTGATCACCTGGCGATACCTTAGACCATATCACTTCAAAGATTCATCTTCCTTCTGAACCCTACACAATGACTCCTGATTCCATTTTTCCATATCACTAGCTGGCCCTGTCACTGGGACGAGTCCAAATTAACTCCCTGGGTACCTGCACAGCAAAAAGTGTTTAGATATAGTATAGAACGATCTGATTGTGCATACACTGAAGTTGACCGAAGCTTTGTCTTATTCAAACATTTAAAAGTCAGAAGGAATGTGTGCATAGTCAGAAAGAAATGTGAACATAAGCGACTTGTACAAGTGTAACCATGGCATTCTATTGTTATTGTCATTTAACTATATATCACATGACAAACCACGGATCCAGGTAGTCCTGTGGGTACTGGGGTCCTACTCAGGACCAACCCGACCCGAGTTACTCGTCCCAGCCCTACCTGTCACATAGTCCACAGCAGTCACAACAAAGGTGACGGCATCGCTTCCTCCGGTTCAAGCCAGGCTCAACTGGTCCTTTTTTCCAATTACAGTAAGATGTTACATTCAAAACAATGCCAAACAATTTGGGAAATACAGTTTGGGAAATACATGCCCAAAATGTATCCTCTCTGAAGAAACATGTCTTCACAATAAGGCAATAAAGAAAATGAGACATGGTCAGGTAGTGAAAGGTCGATGTGCACTGGATCACGTACAAACCACAATAATTCGACAATTACCATGGTAATGCTGCGATGTGTTCGGGTGAATCCCCCTTACTACACATGACATTTTGTATGTGCATTGCCTACTTTCATAACATGTTGATTTGTATGTAAAAATTAAATTAATAATGGTTAGTGTTTGAGATTTTTTGGGTCGACTAAAGTTAATTATGAATATGATCTACATGACCAAACCACTGTCAGTAGGTACCTGGGATGGAGTAGCATATTTCTGTACGCTTTGAGGCCACTGTGAAGTGAGAAGGACATCAATTCCTCTGTAGTTATTGTCTGATGCCACAGGCCCAGTGAGGGTTAAGATGTCATCTTTGGTGAACTGCCAGGCATCTTGTGTCTGTTGTTGGGCTTCCATTCCACTCAGATATGCTATCTGTAGTCCGGAACTACCCGCATAACGACCTCGGCTCCCTGTTGGATATAAATAGGCAACAATCTGAAGTATACATATCTGTTGAAGTATCAACATGAATTTAGACAATACAGTACATGAGAACAGCCATTCTCTCTGAGGTCATTAACTGCACATGAGCAGATGAAAGATTGCAATCACATTTTAAAAGTTGTAGGAAAATCAAACAATAGTTATCATTGTTAATAATTCTAAGAATACAACCTCTATTACATCTGTGCCATAAATCCTGTATTTTGGCTTCAGTCACACCAAATCAAATTTTCAGATTTTCAACAGACATCCTCTTCACTGTCAATTTCACACAACTAGTTGTTCCCCAAAAGCATTGTAACCAATCAAGCTATGATGTATGCAATGGCGGGGATCTCACTTCCTTCCACATCTAACCACCAGGGGTAGATGAATTGGAGAGGTGGGTGGGAGTACTTCTGATGTAACTGAGGTAGTATTCTTAGAACTATTAACAATGGTAACTACTGTTCGATAATTCTTACGAAGCTACTACCTCTATTACATCTTTGCCAGAATATATCAGAGGGACTCAGTGGGAGCTGCCTCAAGTAACTCCCTGTGTAATTGACAGTTTTCTCTTCTGGAAACCATTATTCTCTGACTCGTGATAATTCCCTTCTGAAATTCCCCCTGAGAACTTGAAAATTAAAAAAGTCTCAAGATGCGATCAAATATGTGATACTTTCACGAGAATTGCTGTTGGATGTAGGCTTGGCAGATTGTCATGGAAAATGCTGGACTTGGGTTGTCGTAACAGATCTCGTCAGAGAGGTAACTGGATAGGCTCTTCCATTATTAGTCTTAGAAGTCTGGGGAACCACGCCTTGCTTGGCCAGATTGGTGCTATCAGGATAATCATACAATCCGTCTCCTCCACCTTGTGGATGACCTTGTCTAGGAAAGACCAAGGTGGGAATGTGTAAGCATGTAAACCGTCCAGTCCATCGATAGTGCGTTGAACTGGCGAGCTCTTGGGTCGGGAACTAGACTGACTTAGACCGGATGTTGATGATTCTGACAGGTGGCAAATAGATCTAGGTGAGGTGAGTCCCATAACGTGGTTATCCAAGCAAAGATCTTGGAATGTAAGGTCATTCTATTGCCACTATTCTCCCCTGGCAAGGATGCTCAGTTTCCTGGGTATATGTCTTGCTTCCATCCGGCAATTTATGGAGTGTGCTAAGGCAAACAATCGTGTAGTCATCAGGGAGCTGGATCCGGTTCCTCCCTGTTTCTGGATGTATGCCACTAATGTGGTGTTTTCCGTGGCTAGGAGGATGGATGATTGAGATAGACATATCTTCCATGCTAGGATGGCATATTAGATCGCCTCCATTTCCTTGCAGTTGATATGAACGGTCTTCTCTCTTGTGCTCCATGATCCCTGTACCGTGAGATCATCCATATGGGCTCCCTATCCTGAATCTGACATGTCTGTGAATAGATGGTGTTCTGGTGTCGAATAAGTCAGGGGGACGCCGTTCATCACATGTTCTCTGTGATTCCACCAATGCAGGTCCTGTACTAAGTTAGGAGGTAACCGAGTCTTGAACTCTAGGCTCTGGGATCTTATAGAGTTGATCCATGTCTGTAGAGGACGTAGCATCAGCCTTCCTCTGAAGGTCATATCCTGTAGAGACGTTAAGTTGCCTAGAAGAGACATTCACCACCTCAGTGACTTGCTGGGTTGACTTGATAGGGATTTAATCATCGTGATAGTCTTGACGAATCGATCCTCTGGTGGGCATAGATATCCCTTGTTTTGTTGGAATCTTGCTCCAATGTATATGATGTCTTGAACCAGAGTTATGCAGCTGGAACTAGCTGGAGATGGGCAAACTTGATGACGGGTGCTATAATCCTGGTGAATAGCCAAGGGGCTATTGATATCCCAAATGGTAAGACCTGGAATTTGTAACGTCGCCCAGCGATTGCGAAGCGTAGATATTTGGGTGACAATGGGTGTATCGGAATGTTAAGATAGGTATCCTGTAGATCAAAGCTGATGAGCCGTCTCATGTGTTCAAAGTCGACCATAACTTCCGTACGGATTCCATCTGGAATTTTGGCGGAGGTACCAGGTATCTTTTGTTGAGAATCTTTAGGTCGATTGTCATCCTCATGTCAGCTGTATTCTTCTTCATGACTAGGAATACCAGAGAATAAAAGCCCTTGGTGTTGTTGGTCTCCGCTTGTCTCCGAATGGCTTGATTCTTCAGTAGCTGCCGGCCAGATCTGCTGATGCTAGCTTCGCTCGGACTAGATGAAATGTGTGTCTGACGGCTTGGGTCTACAAGACAGGATGTTTCTTGGAGTACAGCTTGTATCCATGAGCCACGACGTCTAGAATCCAGGGGTCAGGCATTCCTTGTTTTCAATTTTTGGTGTATGACAAAAAACACCCTCCCACTGGTATCAGAGTCGCTATTATTTTTGAAAGACATAGGGCTGTGTATTGCCACAAGTTTTGTATTGCGATATAGTGTGATACATCTCTCTGTACTGCAATACATACTGCAATATATTGTGAAAGCATTGCTGGACGTGCCTAAGCATGTCCATGGACAAATTACTCATTCCTCCCTCATATTTTACACTGATATTATAGCGCCGACTGATGGCAAAGTTTTCTTCAAACTTTCCATAAGTTTTCAGCTCTTTTAAGTCGAAATGTCGCCAAACATTTACTGACAACTTTGAAATGAGCATGTTCCTTGTCTGCTATTTCTAAACAAACCGTATAATCCTGCTGGGGTTAGTTGTCAGCCTGATTGGTATCTTTAAAGTACTCTGCTTCCACCTCCGGGTGACCGTGGGTAGCTCCCATGGGGGTTGGATAATCATGGTAGTCCACCACATAATCCCCAAGCAGTTCATCTTCTGTCAGTGTCTAGAATTCCTGTATGATCATAGTCCGTGCAGCTTGTGATGGCTGCCCGAACGGTGATCCTCTTCTCGGTTGGTATAATGTTCGGCTGGACAGTCCCGTGTGGTCCTTGCGTCTGGCGAGTGTGCCGTCTGCTGATGAAGATCATATGATAGGCCAATCGACTAGACGGTCGATGGATTAGCTGTGGAGTCTGTGCGGTACCCGTATGGTGTCATAATGGTTAGCTGGGTGAATGGCTGGTCGGCCGTTTAGATTATCCTGAAGTCTGTGTGGCGATTGTATGGTGTCTTTACGGTTGGCTGTGTGGAAGGCTGGTTGGTGGGTGCCGTGCAGCGACTGTACGGTGTCTTGGCTGGGAAGTTTGGCCTTGCGATACCCTGCTGGGACCCAAGCGAACGTCTATCTGTCCTAGCATCATGGTAGGGAAAAGTCTGCAGGCTTGTATCCGGCTGGTCGGATGGCTGGTTGGGCTACTGATCGGTCGGCTGATCGGTCGGCTGATCGGTCGATAGGCCGTATGGCTGATCAGTTGGTTGTACTGGCCAGGGCTCGAAAAATCCACTTGTCCGCTCGTATTGACGAGTGGTAACTGATGTCGGGCAAGCTAAAATTATCAAATACTCGTCCTGACGGACGAGCAGATACTCACAGCAGTTTAATTTATATTTGTTTTGATGTGCGATATATGGACACGGAAATCACGGCCATTCAGCCGATCGATATTTATGTTGCGTATAGCATTAACAATTAGGCTAAGGTTTGTCTCTTGATGTATCTTTGCGCAGGCTTTGCGCTGAAACCAGTCTTTATTTATTGATGTAAGCGGCCGGTTGCTAACTACCGGTGATTCGGTCAAGACACACCCAATGATATAACTTTATGGGATTTTAATGCAAGGATCGTCAAAAATTGTATTTGAAACTATTTTTTTTATCAGGAATAATATATTCCAATATCTTGTTAATTTAGATGCAGCTTTTACTCAACATTTTTAAAATAATAATAACCCTAAGCGAAGCAGCTGATCGCTATTGCCGGGTATTATTTTTTACATGGAACCAGTCTGACCAGTCACCGTCAAGGCTCCCGTGCACGTGATCGCAAATTACATGTTGACATAGAATCGTCCAACAAAAACAAATATGACTTTTAACGAGTCACAGTATGGCATTTATGATATATGTATCCATTCTCTGTCAACTAAAGTTCGTTTCAAGGCGTCAATAGCGGTAATCTGACCGTGGTTGCTGTTAATAACAGTGAGTTGTGCGATCTTCCGATCGCTTCACACACGATTTCGCCGAAATTAATTAAAACAATATTAAAATGAATTTTGAATAAAATTAATAAAATAAGTTACAAACATAAGTCCAGATATACAAAGAACACTTTTTATCGCCAGACAGTGTAAAATTACATGACTAATTTGCGTACTTAAGTAAGGATTTGTTGACATGGTATTTCCGGTGTTAAGCGCTCACGGTAATGTCTTTCCATGGGGGAAAAAACATCAAAACTCATTATTTCATGTATAATGCGCACCCCCTTCTACACAGCTGTGTTTTTTGGAAAAAAAGGTGCGCATTATACTCAAGAAAATACGGTAAACCAAAATGGCGGATATGAGAAAGTTGACTGCACAGGCGGAGAAACGAAACCTTAGTCAAAAACAATACGATACACAAAAGCGAAAACATGTTGTTCAATCTGCGTGGTTGAGTGAATTTGAATGGGCAAAATTTGACGATGATGACAGCGAGTTGTATTGCACTGTCTGTCGAAAATACCCCAAACTATCTGATCCCAAATGTGAACTCGTAACTGGCTTACATCATAATTTCAGAAAAGAAACTTTGAAATCTCACGCTAAAAGTAGGAAGCATATTCAGTGCTGTGAACATGATAAAATTTTTGACAAACCCCAGACTGCGCAGTTTGCCAAGTCAATGCAAAAAGTTGCCGAAAAAAACTGAAGTTTATGAAAAGCTATTCACAACAGCCTACTATATTGCAATAGAAGGGGAACCATTTTCAAAATTTCCAAGTTTTTGTCAGTTGCAGTCTAAGAATGGTGTAATACTTGGTACAAATTAT